TCTATGTGTCTGAATCAATCTCTTCTCCTTTATGGCCTCCTCTGGTTGTGCATGCAGGAAGGGAAATAAAGGAGAGTGATGTGGGTGAGGCAAAAGTTGCAGAGCTGGCCACCGCTAGTTGTTTGGGAGAGGCGAGGCGAGGCGAGACGAGGTGATGAGATCAGCGGCAGATCCCTGTCTCTGTTGATCGTAACGGTATATCGAAACAGAAAGCGTAAATCGACACCAGGAGTTACGTGGTTTCCCCGTTCAGTATGAACGAGACTAGTCCACGGCCGAAGCTATAGTATCGTATTATTCAGCTTAACCTCGACAGGTCTGGTTACAAGCATATATATACAAGCTAGAGAAATAAACCTAGCTCCGAACCCTAGCGATCTCGGCCAGTCTATGCAATTCCCATACACCCGAGCTACATATGGGAATGGGCCTAAAGCCCACGTTACATTACTCAACAGCCTCCCCCAAATCGATGAGGATCCCTCATCATCAATTTGCGAGAAAGGTAGAAATGACGACTGGCGGAGAAGGACTTGGTCAGTAAATCAGCAATCTGATCTTCGGATTTGATGTGAAATAGACGGAGAATGCCATCACAAACCAAGTCACGGATATAGTGCAAATGAACCTCAATATGCTTCGTCCGATCGTGGAGCACCGGATTCTGTGCGATCTGGATAGCACTAGTATTGTCGACATAAAGCTGGAGAGTAAGACCACAGTCAACCCCAAGATCACCAAGAAGACGACGTAACCAGACGAGTTCTGAAGAGACATCAGACATGGCCCTGTACTCGGCCTCAGTAGAAGATTTCGAAACCCGATCCTGTTTCTTACACCTCCAAGAAATGAAAGAATCACCTAACCTCACACACCAGCCGGTGGTAGATCGCCGCGTGTCCACACACCCGGCATAGTCGGAATCGGAGAAAGCCTCTAGAACAAAAGAACCCGAGGAAGAAAGAAATAACCCGACCTCCCTGGTACCCTGCAGGTACCGCAAAATCCGATGAACAACAGCTAGATGATCAGTACGAGGAGAAGACATGAACTGGCTGACAATCTGTACCGCATAAGCAATATCGGGGCGAGTAGAAGTCAAGTATATCAGACTACCAATAACACTGCGGTAGTGCTTACCCCCGTCGGACAAGAGCTCGCCGGACTCCCGCCCAAGCTTGAGGTTCATCTCCATGGGAGTAGAGACAGGCGTACACTCAGCAAACCGGGCTGTCTCAAGAAGATCAGCAACATAACGAGTCTGACAAAGAAGAATACCAGCTGAGGAACGCTTAACTTCCAGCCCAAGGAAGTAATCAACAAAGCCGAGCTCTTTAAGATTGAAAAAGGCGTGGAGACCATCAGTAAGGGCTGTAATTCCTGCAGAATCATCACCAGTAATGATCATATCATCAACATAAAGTAGTAACACCACTAGACCAGCACCAGTGTTGCGTGTAAACAACGATGGATCGTTGAGGCTCTGCTGAAACCCAAGAGTCAGAATGGTGGAGTGAAATTTGTCGAACCAGGCACGCGGAGCCTGTTTCAAACCATAGAGAGATCGACGGAGCAAGCAGACCTGATCAGGAGTACCACGAGTATAGCCAGGAGGCCGTTCCATGTAAACAGTCTCCTTGAGCTCCCCGTGCAAAAAAGCATTCTTAACATCAAGCTGGAAGAGTGGCCAACCCCGCATAGAGGCCACAGCTAACAAAGATCGGACAGTCACCATTTTTGCTACAGGGGCAAAAGTTTCTTCAAAATTGATACCATACTCCTGACAAAACCCTTGAGCCACCACACGTGCCTTAGAACGCTCAAGAGATCCATCCGGTAAGTACTTCAAAGTATAAACCCAGCGAGACCCAATTACTGGCACTGTAGGTGGAGGACGTGGAACTAAATCCCACGTATGATTAGCTTCCAAGGCTTCAAACTCAACATCCATAGCCCGATCCCAAAGGGGATTACCCTTGGCCTGAGAAAACCTGGTGGGAATGGGAATAGGATCCACACTATAAGCCATATAGTCCTGGTAGCGTAGGGGTGGCACCCCACGAGTCGTGCGAAGAGAGCGACGAGGAGGTTCAGCAGGGGGCGGGGAGTCATCATCATCCGAGGAACTTGACACCTGCGGATCGACTGGTGGAGGCGAGTCGGGTGGTAGCTGCACGGCTGGTGGAGGCGAGTCGGGGGGTAGCTGCAGGTCGAGAGTAGCGTCCTCATCATCCTCGGCAAAGGTAGGTGGTGGTAGTGACAGGTCAAAAAGAGATGGTTCAGTCGAGGAATGGGAAGTGTGATACATTAAATTCTCAACAAACACCACATGACATGCAATACGGATGCGACGAAGCGCAGGATCAAAACACAGGTAACCCTTATGGATATCACTATAGCCAAGAAAACAACAACGGACAGTTTTGGATGTGAGTTTGGTGCGCTATGATCGAGCAAGAAGAACAAAGCAGACACACCCAAAGACACGAAAACGAGAGTAGGGTGGTGGTTTGTGAAAAAGGAGGAAATATGGACTAGTTTGGTCGAGAACAGGTGTGACTTGATAGTTGATGAGACAGACAGCGGTAGCGACGATTTCAGGCCAGAAAGAGGAGGGTACACAGGAGGAGAGTAAGAGCGCACGAGTGACTTCCAAAACATGACGATTCTTCCGCTCAACTAAACCATTTTGTTGAGACACCCCAGGACACGATTTTTGAGACAAAATACCCATAGACTTATACAGACCTAACAAGGGACCAGAACTGAATTCTCCTCCCGGATCAGATCGAACTACACGAACAGTCCTATCAAACTGAGTTTTAATCATGGCAAGGAAGTCGGTAGCAACAGTTAAAAGGTCGGATTTTAGGCGGAGGAAGTAGACCCATGTGTATCTAGTTGCATGATCAATGAATAATGCAAAATATTTAAAACCGAGGCGTGAGGTAGCGGGACTAGGTCCCCAGAGATCAGTATGGATCAAGTGAAAGGGCTCTGTGATCACTGTGAGACTAGAAGGAAATGAGATACGAGTGGTCTTTGCCTCAATGCAACTAGTACAAGCAAAATCCGAAGAAGAAGGAACTGAAGTAGAGTTTCCAAATAACTGTTGTTTAAACATAGTCATAAGACGACTTGAATTTGGGTGACCTAACCGAGCATGCCACAATTGAAACTTTTGATCAGAAAGACTCGAGAAAACAGGAAACGAGGAACTAGAAGACTCAATAGCCGAGGATCTGGAGGATGATGATGGACGCAGCTGCTCAAGAAAAAATATCCGACCCCTCTTGCTACCCCGACCGATCTCCCTCTCTGTCTTCTGATCCTGAACAACACAGCCAGAAGGTGCAAACGTAACACGATAGCCTTGGTCAGTAAGCTGACCAACAGAGACCAAACTCGGAACAAGACGAGGCACATGATAAGTTGAAGGCAAAACAATGTCCGAACTCTGAATTGATCCCATACCAGTAACATGAAATTTATCACCATTTGCAACTTGCACAGAAACATCATCAATAGGGCATACATGTTTTAGATTCGTAGCATTACCAGTCATGTGATTCAAACAGGCTGAATCAAGTATCCAAGAGGGAGCCTTACCCGATATCTGAAGACTAGCGAAGGCCGACGAAATGGCTTTGTTCACCATTTGTTCAAGAGTGGCCGGTGATACAACCACATTCTCGGGGACTGGCGCAGGACTGGTAGCGTACGCGGGACGCGCAGAGGAAGAAGACCCACTGCTAAGACCACCTCCACGTCCATCGGCCTCGCGATTCCTTCCTTCTAGGGCAGGACAATCCGGGATAATATGTCCCGCCTTTTTACAATACACGCAAAAGTTCCTCTTCCTGCAATATTTCTTAGTGTGGCCTTTTTCTTTGCAATGAAAACATTCAACATCATTACCATTTACGCGGCGTTGAAAAGGAGCTCGATACGCCGCGAACACCGCATCATCATGAGCATCGGCCTGCTCGCGCAAGCCTCCCCGTGGTGCCCCACTTCTAGCCGCTGTTGGAGTCGCGCTAAACACAGCGCTGCCATCACCGGTCCCAGGCGGCACGTCAAGAACGGCCTGAGTACGCAGGCGCGTCTCCTCTTGGACCAAGGAGATGAGCACCCCTTCAGCTTTGAGATTCTCACGATTCAGAAGAGAAGCTCGGATGGTTCAAATTCCTTATTGAGGCGCATGAGAAATTGCATCATCCGCATCCTCTCGCGTTCAGCCCGAACCTCCGCCGAGCCGGCTGGGGTGAGAAGAGATGCAGCAACCAAGTCTTGTTCCGTCCACTGGTTCCGAGCTTCGTTGTAGTACGTCGTCACGTCCATGCTGCCCTAGTGAAGTCGTGCCAGCTCCACCTCAATCTCAAACTGCCGAGAAGCAGTGGCAGTCCTACAGGTCTCGGCCAAATAATTCCACATGGCCGCAGCAGTAGGGAGCATTCTAAGACCCAAAATAATTGAGCCATCCACCGAATTAAGGAGTTGATGCCTAACCTTTGCATCGTTCATCACCCATTGAGAGACCTCCTGCGCCGAAGAGGGCGGCGACGTCGGCCGCGGAACCGAACCATCGAGCCAACCCATCAGCCCCTTTCCTTCAATCAGCGTCCGAAACTGGAACTCCCAGACTGCATAGTTCTTGGAGTTCATGCGTGCAGTAATCTGTTCAGAAGACATAGGCTCTGATACCATGTTGATCGTAACGGTATATCGAAACAGAAAGCGTAAATCGACACCAGGAGTTACGTGGTTTCCCCGTTCAGTATGAACGAGACTAGTCTATGGCCGAAGCTATAGTATCGTATTATTCAGCTTAACCTCGACAGGTCTGATTACAAGCATATATATACAAGCTAGAGAAATAACCCTAGCTCCGAACCCTAGCTATCTCGGCCAGTCTATGCAATTCCCATACACCCGAGCTACATATGGGAATGGGCCTAAAGCCCACGTTACATTACTCAACAGTCTCTGAGCAGCACGTCGTGTAAAGATCATCGGCTGGAAGCGACGGTCGAACAGAGTCGTCGATGAAGACGATATTGTTCTGAGAAAGAAGGATGATTTGGATCGAGATTCACCATCGGGGGCGCCCACGCAGTAGCGGTGGCAGTAGAGGTGTGAGTCGCCATGGATCAACAAAGAAAGGTGGAATGGGAGGCCATAAATGTAAAAAATAAAATTTGAACAAAATTGTACATACGGAGGAAGATAAAACCTATTTAACAATAGTTAGATGCACCCACCAACCATTTTATTCGAAACATCAACATGCAAAGATTATTTCTAAACGATGGAAGATGGGTAGAAAGGGTGACTATCAGATATGAGAATTGCTATTTGTAGCTTGAAATTTCTGCTTCTCTTGCTTATTACTACCATGACCATGACACTTTTTCTCACATTGGATATTACACAAGACTTGAGCCGGCAATTCGCAGTGCCCTAAACAATCTTCGAAGCACTGCAAATAATCTGCATAAATTACTGGATTCGTCGAACAAACAATCACGAACAATATCACCATTCCAAGCATCATCTTCATCTTTCTTCAACAAATTCTCAATAGCTTTGACGATTTTAACAAGGAGTTATGTATTACACCACTGTATAAGTGCCAAATAAAAGTTTCCTCCTTTATATAAGAAATGTTTGAGGTGAGCAATTTGGACGAAACAGATTGAAACATTTAATTTATAATTAATGTCGGATATCATTTTCTGTTGTCTTGCGTTATTAAATATATAGATATGACATTGAATTTGATTCAGGGAAAAAAATTATAGTTCTTGCTTTTTTCTTGCATTTAAACACATCCTAGTCTCTTAAGGCTAATAATTTAAGAAATTTCTTAAATCCATTATAATTGTAGGACCAATCTAGTGAGTTACATTACATAAGAATGGAATTAAATAAAGGTAATTAAGGGATCAATGTGGTGAGTTATCAAAGGTTCCTTATGGGTTATTGATCTGTATAACTTTTTTCTATTAAATTTTATGGGTTACCTCTATATTTATTTTAATTTGAAATTCATACTTTTTACACATAAAAATCATATTAATCTAATTGTTTGAACCAATTCATTTAATTGGAGGTATTATAGTAATTAGAATATTATTATTGTTATTTAGTTTCTTTTATTCCCTTCAAATATTTTCTTCAAGCAACCATCGAAGCACTCTATATAATCTGCAAAGATTGTTGGACTTGTTGAACAAACAATCACCATCAATACGATCATTCTCGTCGTCACATTCATTCTTGTTTACAAATTCTAAATAACTTTAATAACTTCAGCATGGTGTTATCTTCGAGAACTGTTTACAAATGTGGGATGATTAATTTATTTCACCTTCCTATAAGGATGCATGAGTGAGCAATTTGGACGAAAAAGATTGGATAATTTAATATCTAATTAATGCAGGATCTTAATTTTTTGTCTTTTGTTATTAAATCCTCCCAATGCTATATAGATGTTCGCCATGGGAACATGCACAATTGAAAAAAGCTAGCTCTTTGAGCAATCCAAGGAAGGACTAATTGGTCATTTTGGACCAATCATATTTCTACCCGCAATCCCTGTTCCGATGCTTCAGTTTGATTCCTCTTCTATTTGGGTTCCGCTAGGTGCAATATGGACTTGGCCTTAATTTGATACTTGGACCACTTATCATACAAGCAGATTTAAAAGAAATCTATAGACTATAGATTAAAATCATACAATGTTTCTAAAAACAAACAAATATCCATACATAGTTAAACAAGTCGATTGACTCTTTGTCATCTCACTAAAATTCACCAAACTTCATCATCAACATACTGGATGTCAGATAAAAAGTTAACAATTCGGTTACTATATTGTTTTTCAAAAATTCTAACTATTATTAAGCCAAATTCGAAGGTTTGGCTACTAAATAATTTTAGCCCAAATAATTTTAAAAAATTAATTCATTCTTTGTTCGTATTATTATGATTAAAGATTTTGAATTGCCTAATCAAAATGATTGTTCAATATAAGGTGGATGCAAAAACACCATCTAAATTATAAATAATAAATTTCAGAGCATTGTACTGTCATCTAAACCCTAATGAGTAAAAACTATGTGTTACGTTTCTAAACCTAGGTTTTTTGGTAGTAAACTCAAACGATAGTTTATTTGGGTAATTTGCGATCTACGAATTTGATTTATGGTTGCGATGTATGTAGTGATGAATTTGGGTAATCTATCTTAAAAAATTTCACACTAGTCATAACCGCCACAAAACTTGAATGAAGTGGGATTTACTCTATGTTGATTTGTAAGTGACTAATATGAGTGATCGTTATTGAATGAAAACATATTTCCATTACTCTTCTAAAAACTAAGCGGCAATGATTTGCTTACTAATATTTTGATGGGACCATTAACTTCAGTACAACTGAACCAAAAAATTTGGATCTCCTTGGTATAAATGCTAACAATTTGCTTTCTAACTGGTTGTGATGGTCACTAGATGATGATTTAATTTGTTGAATAGTCTCAATTATCTATCTGTCAATCCACCAATATTATTGGTTTAAACTCCTAACTCCTAAGATTACATGACTTCGCTTAATGAAACTGCTACATGGTTGCTTGACATATTTAAGATATTATAGTAGTTTGAGTACATTGTTCAACTAACTATTTGCAACCAATTTGCAAATTGTTCTACCTCATTCATCTTATGCATGTAATTCCAAATTTTTACTTCGTGCACTGATCAATAACAAAGATGACTATTGAGGAAAGTATTTCATGGATACTATGAACTTCATCAAAGGAAAAAAAATTATTGCGAAGATCTCACGGAAGACAACTTTTATGTTGTTGTTTACCAACTTTTTATAGCGATAATAATTTTTTCAGAAATATGTAGTTGAATTAGAGAATGAATATAATGTATATATTAGGTATAAATATTCTATTTGACATTTTTTATGCGTTGTTTGGTATTTAATTTTATGAACTTACTTCTCTAAATTATTCATTGACAACTCCTAGAAGAAAATAGCCAACTGAGCCTTTACAATATATAGATAAACTTACTTATCACACTAATATCTCTAAGTTGAGTATACCTAAATTTCAGTATCAAACTCTTCGGGCCAAATGAATCATGCTCTCCTGCCAACGGGCGGGACCATATGCTAGTATATAGGTATGACAGTTAAGTAGTGAATATGAGTTCAATGTAGAGTGCGGGTCACATCAGGTACTTAGGCCAGATTATTTAAGAAGGATCTTAAACTAATTTTAGCCAATAGAAGGAGGAGAGAGATAATTATTATTAATCATTGACTAACTACCTACAAGGATAGAAATGGAATATAATTACTAATTAATATCATTATTAATTAAAAATAAAACCATCTCTCTCCTAAATTTGGCAACTATTTAATATGTAAATAAAAAATATAAATTCAAAATTGATATTTAATGTTTTAGAAAAGGAACAAAAATTAAAAAATGTCCATTATTAATATTTGTAATGGTATTATTACAAATATTTGTAATGGTATTAGTAAGATTTATGAAATGTATTATTAATTATTATATATATACTCATCATTATTAATGATTTCAATATTATCAATGTTTTAATTTTTATAGATATTTACATCGAAATATTGATAATGACACTCTTAATCATTAATAAATAATAACTAAGTTGTGTTGGCATAGAGAATACAAGCAAAATTATTTATAATGATGGTATCTAAATGAGTAATATCATAGTACATATTATTAATAATTCTCTTCTCAAAATATTGATAACGATATATAAACTATTAATAGCTAACTTATGTTTAATTTAAAAAGAAAAAAAAATTGATAATGATCAAATGGTGGTTAATCATACGACATGTTATTAATAATTCTTTCTCAACTACTGATACGCTTATATATAACAAATACAATCATTGATAATGATCATATCTGATGGTGGCTAATCATACTACACATTATTAATAGGGTTATAGGTTTAATATGCCCCTCTACTATGACGTTTTATCAAACATGCCCCTTTACTATTTTTTTATATCAAACATACCCCTGTACTTTGTAAAAATGATCAAACATGCCCTTTTGTTAAAATTTTAATCCAAAAATCGTTAACCAACGCCGAACTTTAGTTTGGGCGACAGAAATGACTAAAATATCCCTAATAAATTCACTTTAGAATCATTTTGGTTCTTTTGTATAATCAAATCATTCAAATAATTTCACTTTGAAAAGATCAAAGGAAATAAAACAGGGGACAAAACTGACATTTTTCCTCCCATTTGTCGATGTCGGGTCGTCTAAATCTCAATTCAACCATGATTGACGATTTTTTCAATGAAATTTTTAACAGAAGGGCATGTTTGATAATTTTTTCAAAGTACAGGGACATATTTGATGTAAAAAATAGTAGAGGGGCATGTTTGATAAAACGTCATAGTAGAGAGGCATATTATACCTATAACCCTTATTAATAATTCTCTTCTCAAAACATCGATAACAATATAAGAATTATTAGTAGCAAAGTTTTGTTTCATAAAAAAGCAAACACAATCATTGATAATGATTATATCTAATGGTGGTTAATCATACTACATATTATTAATAATTCCTTCTCAAATTTTGATACGCTTTACGCTTATATACCCACCCATCAACAATCATATAACTAATCATTAGCAATACCTATATAAAAAACTTAACAACGTTGTTGTCAACCGTTCAAAAGAAAAACGATAAAAAAGGTTATCAATGTTGGGCTCCTAGCCAATTCCATATAAACGTAAACACGTTTACAATGAACTATGCAAAGTTAATAATCATTACAACAATGCAATAACACGACTGTAAACCTTTAATAACCATAAGATGATGGTGGTTAATCAAACCACACTCTTAATATAATAACTAGGTGGACTTTGGCCGCGCTTCACATGGGCGTTTGATTGGTGTGCGACCATTGTTTTGTATGCCCAATTGCCCATTAATAAGTTTAACTCCTGATTAACTCTAAAATTTACGTGGCAACTCTATATACCGCCCTTTATTATACATGCAATTGTACCGAATCTAGGAATCCCAAAACCTCAAAATAATGCTTCACTACGAATCTGCGATACTCTAGGGTAGAGGCTATAGCAAACTAACTATACAATTGCAAATCATTCTAGATCTTCAATGTTTCCTTATAGACTATGTTTACTGTGAGTTGCTGGCTTTGTTCATCTTTTAGTATATCTATATGAAATAGATAGAATTTTACCTTCAAAATTGAGAGGATCAAAGAGCTCTAAAAGAGTTTTTCTGCGAAACGAACATGGAAGAGCACAACATATAGTTGTCCATGGGTAAAAACTGGATTCAGCAACCGTAATCCAATTTGCTCAAGTGTTTGTTTGTCCTTGGCACGTGTTTATAGTCATTACATAACAAAACCCATATTGGAAATAGATGTTGTCTTAGTGTGAATGGTCATCTAGAGTCGGTGATATCTAGACTATTATCGGAATAGCTACTACAAATTATTCAAAAGTACCTTTGATGATGAGTCCACGAATGATATAATCACCAAGCTTTGTTATCAAGATTCGGGTACCATTGCAGAGTCCAATTTATGGATTTAGATTTCGTAGTAGCATTATTGGTGTAAATGGTTTATTGTGTTTTCTTGCTCGGAAACTCC